GAAGTACCAGCTCGGTAAAATAGATCAATGCATCATGTCAGGCGGTTTGCAGATTCGGGATGCGGAGTTGTGTGTGATCATCTCCCTTGTGCCGAGCTCATGCAGCCTCCCCTCCCCAGAGGAAACCACCTCAGCTAGCTTGAAGAGAAGCCGACAGAGGTACCAGCTGCTTTAAGAAGTTTTCGGGTAAACAATACCTTTGTAAAAGTATATAATTTAAATAATCAATAAAATAACTTGAGTTTCGGTGAGTACACCTGCACTGTTTCAACCGTCCTCTTCTCTCAAGAATGGCTCGTGACAGTGCTCGTGTCCTGCTTTTTTGGAAATGTTCCGCCCTAATAAGGCTGGCGGGCGGGACGAAAAAAAAAAAAGAGCGCCAAACCTTACCGGTTGGGCAAAAAAAAGGTACTAACTTGCTCCCTCCAAAACGGGTGCAAACCGTGTCCCACAGTCGCTCAAGCACCATTAACGCCAGGGCCAATCACACAGGCGAAAAAAAAATTCAGGTAACGCACCTTTTCTTCCCCCTCCGTCCACCCTTTGCTCTTCTCCTCTCACCTCTCAATTTCTCCTCTCCACATACTTTCAATACTCTCCACTGTCCTTTTGTCTGCCACGCAGACTCTCTCCGACTTCCTTCTCTTCGCTTCACGACAAGCTCGATTTTTGCGCAATCCATCACCATGTCTGAGGAGGTAAGTCCATCGTCTGCTTCCGTTGCGCTGCCTCTGCGCAAAGGGGAAAAAACACCCCGCAATCATCTTGGCTGCCCCTCGACTGAGCGACACCCCACATCACAATATTGCTTTTTTTTTTTTTTTTTTTGTTGCGAGATTCGACAGATGAGATTCTGTATCCCAAGATCGCCCCGTCTACAAGATCATCAGCATCAAATCACCTAATAAAACTGCAATCTTTTCGCACTCGCTTCATCACAAACTCTAAACGCTAACCAATTCGTCCACCTACAGCATGATGTTACCTTCGAGTCCGCCGACGCCGGCGCGTCTCTCACCTACCCCATGCAGTGCTCTGCTCTGCGCAAGAACGGCTTCGTCGTGATCAAGGGTCGCCCGTGCAAGATCGTCGACATGTCCACCTCCAAGACCGGCAAGCACGGTCACGCCAAGGTCCACCTTGTCGCCCTTGACATCTTCACCGGCAAGAAGTACGAAGATCTCTCTCCCTCCACTCACAACATGGATGTCCCCAACGTCACTCGTCGTGAGTACCAGCTTGTAAGTAAATTGTGCTCCCCAGATGAAAATTGGAAGAGGAAAAAAAAGCAAGAGTCGAGCTTTACTGACACGATTTTGTAGCTCGACATCTCTGACGATGGCTTCCTCTCCCTCATGAACGACGACGGTGACACCAAGGATGATGTCCGCATGCCCGATGGCGAGATTGGTGAGAAGATCAACAAGCTCTTCAAGGTTGATGAGAAGGACACCAGTAAGTCACCATTCTATCCCCTTTTTAAACGTCCAAGAGTGGTACGAAAATGGAGTGTATTCTAACCCAATTCTCAGACGTCGTTGTCCTTACCTCCATGGGTGAGGAGGCCGCCATTGAGGCCAAGGAGGCTCCCAAGCAGGGTTAAATTAAATCTTAACTCCCCCACCAAATGAGCACTACGAAGATTTAGGATTTGGTTATAGCCCCTCGTCACCTCTTTTCCTCCCCCACCTCCAGGCGTTTATTACGGCCGTCGTAACATCGAATATCCTTGGCTTGATGTATGGGTCGTTGCGTTCGAAGGTTGATGGATGGGATTTCTCTGCTAGTTACAATGCTCGGCATTTCAAACGCCCTTTCTGAGGGTCATTATTTTCCTTTGTACGCTCCACGAGTCATCGCCAAAGTTGCCCATACAGACATGTGTGCGTAGCTGGCCGTCATGATGAAAATGAAAAAGAAAAAAATGAACGTGCATACTGAGCTTGCTACAATAAGTGAATAAGTGAAAACCGCAACGTATAATTAATTATAAGAGATGATGTCTCCAGATGATGTAGATCTGCTGTAGATTTGCTGTAGATTTGCTGCAGATTTCCTGTATATTTCCCGTAGATTTTCTGCAGATGGATTATAGATTGCTTGCAGCTGTCATTAGAGTTTCCGTAATGTGTGGCTGCAGTAGGTGAAAATTATAGTGGGTAAAATCCAAGGTAGCGTTACGCAGAGCCGCCAAAAGGTCAATTGTACTTTAAGCAAGACAACACCAGCCTTCGCATACAAAGCTTCATGCCTATCTGCTGGTGTCTTTCAGTTGGACGAGCCTGCAGCTTCAGTTCATCGTATCGCCATCAGTCCGAAACCTCGGAGCTTCTTTCTTTTCTTGATCGGTGACCACGGTGCAATATGAAGACAAACTTCTCTCAGAAGTGCTGCATAGACCGCGACGTCTACACTTGCTCGCCATAACTCAGCACCTCCATCTCTATCTATCGTCTCTTCTCGCTGTCAGCATAATTCAAAGTGCACATTCAAAATGGAAGGGCCAGGAGAAGTCCGGAGAATGCCCCGAGGCGAAAGATGCCCCGAATGTGGTAGCCAGAGATGGTACCTGCAAGATGGGCTGAGATTTTGCGCTCGGGGTCATCAAATCGAAGTAAGTAACTCTTGGTGAACTCTGCCCGAGCTGTAAAATTGACCGACTATAGGGGTTTATCCAATTTGATCTTGGTGACATTGAAGACTCTGGTAAAATGGGAGCGGTATCTCGGCGTGAAAAAGCCCCGAGAGACAGAGGAAAGAGGGCGCCTACACTGACGGGCCAGGCCGGCAGGGATCTCTACCTTGAGGCTCTCCAATTGATTATTAGAAGCCAAGTAGCATGGCTCATCAATGAAAAGGGCCACAGAGAAGAGCTGGAAACTGTCGTTCGCGACTTGTGGGATTTGCGAATCAGAGGGTCAAATTCTGGTATCGGTGACGATGCCCAGGGAGACGACGAAGACTTGGCAATTTTCAGCTCTCAGCCCTCTCAGGATTCATCATCATCAAAATGGCATCCTCAATCCAGGAAGCAGAGCTGGGATCCCGAGCTGGGCTTACGATGGCCGTTGCCACGCGTCCCCGACACACTCGCAATTTGCTATTTAGGCTGCGTCCTCTTGAGGATACCAACTCACCTCGGTGAAATCATTCGATGGGCCAGGAGCGGTAGCATTCCGTACAAAAAATGCGTAAGCAAACTATGCTCCAACACCTAGTTTCTCCATGTTAACTGGCGAATAGTATCAACATCTGCCCCAGGAAATGCGAGATCGAATGCCCGCCTCATATGTCAGGGTCTTGAAGCTGCCATTCCGTTCTTCTATTGAAGGAGATGAGATACACAGAGTCGTTATGGACTTGGTACTCTCTTACGACTTCAACTACAGTCTAGTTTTTCCAGAGATTAATCACGTTCCGCAGCTGATACAATTTGCAAAAGAGCTTGCGCTGCCCAGTAAGAATTACTATTCCTTCAACTGACCGGTAAGATTCTAATTAAAGAACAGTTGATGCCATCATCGCGACTCGAAAGTTGGCGTCCCTCTTAGGATATCAATTTCGCTTTCCGACAGCGAAGCTCTCAAACCCCAGGTTGGATTATCCAGAGATACGTCTGATGGCCCTGCTCATTGTTGCCACCAAACTATATTTTCCTCTTTCCGATACTACTTCATTATCCCGACTTCAAAATGCGAATTTCCTCCAGATACCTACACTTGACTGGGAGAGATGGCGACAGGGCAGAAGCAACTTGCCAACACAACGCGATACGAAGACTACCAAGTTTGACTTTGATAAAGTCACTCCTAGCCAGGTAGTCTCTATGGAAGAGGACGAACTTGACGCATATTTTGCTCACGTCTCCAGTCTCATTGACACGACTAGTAAGTTAATGAGTGCCATGACTCATTTTTTTTTATTAGTTACGATGCTGATAGGATGGATCAAGGCGATAATCCAATCACGACATTCTTTCCGGTAGAAGAATCATCGGCTAGCACAAGCCAATTAGAGGATATTTCTACCAAGGACATAGATGACGCCGCCAAATATTTACTGAATCAAACTCTCGAATACAATCGGTTCAATCCAGCCAAATCAGAAAACACTTTGCCGTCGATGCCAAGATACGAGGCATTTCGCAATGTTGATCACCTCTCTGAAACCGCAACAGAACTTTACAGAGCTGCAGGTAAGTCTACACTCAGGACAATGACTGCGCCGTGGTGAAGAAATGGAGCTGACATATGTGTAATGAAGGCTTGGTAGTAGGGGCCTCTCTTGAAACCATGACAGACGCCATTTACAGGATTGAACGGGCCATGGTGGTCTGGCAGAATAAAAATCGGGCATGAGGAGCCAATGTTAGATTTGATGGTTGATCAAGGCATCTACTGTAGCCAATTGTATGTATAGTTGCTATGCAAGTATGACGCAGACGGAGGGCCCCAACGTACAGTACCTGACAATTAATGAGAGTAATTTCAATACATCCAACGATGATCTAACACATTAAAATGTCAGAAGCCGTTTGTTTATCCCATCGGTCGCAAAAGAGAAGCTGAAGCTTGTATTGCTTGATAAGTGTGCTCTTTGCTGCAGAGTTCCAAGTTGGGACGAAGTACTTGATACACGGAGTGAAAGGGTCCACTTGAGGTCTTCGAGGTGCTTCCAAGAATGGACTAGGGCGAGGTGGGTTGTCGGACCGGCGCTAGCAGTAAAATGGAAAGCCCTCTCCATTCCCCATAACAGACGCACTTTCTTCTTGCAAGTCACGTGTGTCGGCTACTGACCTAGGGTTTTCCATGATTTCAACTTCCGCCCCACCAATTTTGCGCGCAGAATCAGCGATCGAACCTTCACATCGTCAAGCATCACAAAAATCGTTCAAGAGTGAGTACCGTCGCCACGCCTCAGGAGAGCAAACCAGGATGAAAATACTAACCGTTAACAGTGCAGATGTAAGCTCAGACTGAAAACCCGCCAGATTTCGCTCCGACGTCGAACCCGGCAAGGCCGTACTAACAAATGCGATCAGTTTCGTGAAGACCCTGACGGGCAAGACCATCACCCTTGAGGTCGAGTCCTCCGACACGATCGACAATGTCAAGTCCAAGATCCAGGACAAGGAGGGCATTCCCCCGGACCAGCAGCGATTGATCTTTGCTGGCAAGCAGCTCGAGGATGGCCGCACCCTTTCCGACTACAACATCCAGAAGGTGCGTCATCAGGAATCCTCATTTCGACCTTTCTTCGCGAAGAGCGCGGGATAAAGGACTGGGAAATGAGGGGAAACGGAAAAAGAAGGAAAACGGAACAGAATGCTAATACCAATCTGCAGGAGTCCACCCTCCACCTCGTCCTCCGTCTGCGTGGTGGTGTCATTGAGCCCTCTCTGAAGGTTCTGGCCTCCAAGTTCAACTGCGACAAGATGATCTGCCGCAAGTGCTACGTACGTTCTAATTTTGAGTATCTACTGGATGAATCGCAGGCACTGACTTTAGCATTTCCACAGGCCCGTCTCCCTCCCCGTGCCACCAACTGCCGTAAGCGAAAGTGCGGTCACACCAACCAGCTCCGACCCAAGAAGAAGCTCAAATAAATCATTTCACCAAGGATGTGGCGTCTGGGTTCTGGCATTCTGGGGTGGCGAGGACAGAGGTGCTTCTGCTTTATTCCGGATTTTGTTTCTACATTAGCATCAGGGCAGAGGCAAAATATATCAATCTAGATGATGTCTGATGGCAGCTCATTGTTAAATATCCTCCGGGGAAGTTCGACTAGTGATTCGACGGTAACTGACGCCAATATTACACTTCAATCCCGGTCCCTGGAGAGGAGTAAATTGAAGCTTGAAGAGAGCATTTGGTTATTGTACCGCCTATGGAGCTGAAAGGGCAAAACATGATGGACCATCAGTTAGAACCACAGGAATGATTGGGATTGCAGATAGATTATCTAGCAAAAAATCCACATGATTAACGTATATGCTCAATCCAGTAGAGTGTATCAAAACAAGGTTTTTTCCACGTCAATTGCTCAAACGGTATGACAATTTAAATAGCAATCAAAAAATTTGCTAATCAAAAGTGAATTGATACTTTTCCGCTGTTCCACAGCACAACATCTGTACCTGGACAAGCTGGCTAATCGGAGGACTTGATTCGCTCGTGGTCCATTCTGCTGCATGCATTTGATCACGTGATACGACGACATCTCGTGGCAAGCTATCCCCCAAGCTCAAGCCACCATGCGTCTAAGAAGAGACAGCTTGGACTCGACCCAACTCACAACTAATTGCCCGGCTTTAACCAACTGATATTTGGACAGCGTTCTTGCCAGCGGGACTTGGTCAGCGCATTCCCCCCCAAAGACGCCAAAATGTCCGGCTCTGGATATGATGCGGTAGTGGATGTGGACGACGAGGTACGTTGTGTGAAAGGGAAGCAAGCATACGTTGCCTTGATTATCCCCGGTCTGCGATGCCCGCATAAAGGAATGTCGCCTTGCTAAGCTTCTGGCGTTGCGTTCTTCGTCTTTCTAGGGCGACCTCGGCCACACCGACCTCCAAGAGGATCTCGAATTCCACAGCTCCAACTTCAACGAGCCGTCATCGTCATCGCGCGGCGGCCGCAAGGCGCCGGCAGCAGGCCTGCCCCCGCCAGCGACATCCTCGTCGTCATCGTCCAAGCGCTATCTCTGGAGCATGCAATTCTATGCGCAGTTCTTCGACGTCGATACTTCTGCCGTCCTGTCGCGCTGCTGGGCGGCTTTGTTCCCGCGGGCAAACTTCCTCGACGTGCTCGAGGGCAATCCCGACTTGTACGGCCCGTTTTGGATCGCTACGACGGTGGTCCTGATTCTCTTCCTCGGCGGCACCATCAGCCAGTATCTCTCGACCACGGGCAAGTCCCAGTTTGCCTACGATTTTAGGCTATTAAGCGGTATGAAATTGGCATTATCTTGCTTCAGGTTCAATGGGGAGGATATAGTTGATAAGACGGGGCTAACACGATGATTGATATTCAGGCGCTGCCGGTTTAATCTACGGATATACCTTGGTCATCCCCGTGGCCCTGTTCCTCGCTCTTCGATACTTTGGAAGCGAATCTGCGAACCTCCTGGAGTGCTGGGCTCTGTACGGATACTCAAACCTGATATGGATCCCTGTTGCGCTGATTTCCTGGTCGCCAATCTCCATCCTTAACTGGGTCTTTGTTGGCGTCGGCTTCGGCCTGTCTGTGGTCTTCCTAGTACGAAACCTGTATCCAGTGCTGAGCGCAACGGATCGTCAGGTCAGCAAGATCCTGCTGGTTATTGTCATTTTACTACACGCCGGTCTTTCCTTGACGATCAAGATCCTCTTCTTTGCTCACGGCAGCCCGGTTGCGCGATCCCCAGCAGGCGGGGATGATGATAAGAAGCCAGAGTTCTGATGAACTCAGATCATTGCAATCAAGTATTTGGGGGGACGCCTCGGCGGTTTTTATGAAGAGCAATATTTGTCACAGGGAGTTCGTTTCTAAGGAGACTATTACTTGGTCGGTATTCGGCAAAAGCATTTGTACACTATAACTTGACGGGTGGCTATGCCTCGATATAAATGACAGAAACATGAATTTAGAAATTTTCAATTTGATTTCCAGCCATCCTTGATCTTTTGGTTGCTCAGTCTGTTCTCCCCTCGGCCACCGGCACTTATACATACACATATACACTCAAACACACTCACACACACATATATATACCTCGTAATACTAGCATTAGCCTCATCAATTCGACACACAGCAACTTTATTTCCCCTCGCCCTTGCTCCCCCTCGGCTTCACAGCCTCCACGGGACCCTTGTTCAGATCCCAGTCGAGCCAGCTGCCCGGGTACTCGCCCACACTAGCCCACCCGGCGTGCTGCGCCAGCCCCGCGGCCGCCCTCGCGCGCACGCCGGCCTTGCAGTAGAAGAGCAAGGCCGCGTCCTTGGGCGGGCGCGCGTAGCCGTACAGGTCCTCGAAGTCCTCGTCGGAGACGTGGAAGCTCTGGACGGCGGAGGTGATGGGGATGTTGATTGCGCCGGGGATCTTGCCCGTGTCGAGGAGCTCGTGGGGTTCGCGGACGTCTGTGTTTATTTGTCAGTTGACACACATACAAAGAGAGAGAGGAGAAGAGATAGTTGTGAGGAGGGGATGGGATGTAAATAGATGGATGAATGTTATGGGCCCTTACCAACAATGACAACCTCCTCCTTAGGATCCTTCCCCTCAACCAGCTTCTTGATCTCGTCAAACCCCCAGATCCGACTATTCGGCACCTGATTATCCGGACCAGAGTACCACCTTCGCACACCAGCAACACCAGTGATAGATCTGGGACTCGTCCACCTCGCCAACGGCCGAGCTGCTACGCTGGAGCACGTCCTGGCTGCGCAAGCCGAGATTGAGACTGAAGCTGGGGCGGCGAAGCTTCGTGGGGAGATGCGCCGCAGGAGAACCCGCTGGCAAGCTTGTCGGGCGGCCATTGCGTTGTTGTTTTGTTTTGTTCTGTATTTGTATAGTACAGAGGGAGCTCTGGCGCAAACCAAGGTGGGTGGTAGAGGCAATGCGTTCGAAGCGGGTACTTGGTGGTTAAAGAGGCGCAATTCGCTAGGACGCTTTTGTTAGCTAGCTAAACTTGCCGATATCAATCAATCAATGCCTTGTCTCTCTTAGAGCTATACACAATTGAGCTCAACTCTTTAAAATCAACCTACCAGTCAAGTGTTTAGAAAAACACAGTTCTCCAGCAACAAAAACGCACCAATGATCAAAGTTAGATAGAGTGGTAGGCTTAGCTGAAAGCTGAAAGCTGCAAGGGTTCTTTGGGCGTAGTTGGATAGCCGAAATCACCCCGCGACGTCATGTCATGTGCAGCTAAACGGCCCTAAAAGTCGAGCTTCCTTCGGCGCTTGGAAATCACGAACTAGCAGGGGAAGATTTCACGGTTTACCGGACGATAGCCTAATCCCTTTGGACACCTCCTAATGCCCACATCTCTCGAGGAGCAATATAAAGGTCTCAGGTGCTGGTCCTCATGAGTCTTGATTTTTCCTTCGGCTCCAATTATAGACAAGTCATCAGATCAAATACAGATACGCATAGGAACCACGGAGAGCATCCACTTCAGCCAATCTCACGATATCTCGACGCCAATAGACTCTCCCTCTCTCTCTCTCTCAAATCAAATCTTTTTATTTCCTTCATCCATTCCATCAGCCAAGCCTGATCTAATCTCTTCGTGGCGTCCAGCAGCGAGGCAATCGTGTTGCCGCTGACTAAATTAATTATATACAGTGATGATTGGGTATTAAAATTATGTACCATCTCCTTATGGCTCTATGCAAGGCCAATCCTGAGCTCCCATCTTAGCTTCATGGCAGCTCAGCGGTCTGTAGTACGCTCCTGGGCAAGCAAATCCCGTTGTTGTGCAAAGAAAAACGCCGTCTATCGCCACAGATGGCATTCGCCCAACCGACGCTCATATATCGCTTCGATGTCACAACGTCTTTCGTCCGTCCTATTATGCCGCCAACAGCGACTCGGCAGCTTTTTTTTTCCTCTTGTATCATTCATTCATACTTTTGTTTTTCGTCCTTTATTTCCTCTCTTCAAAAGTAAGAGGGCAGTCATCCTAAGCTACTGTCAGTTCCGTCTCTCAATATTACGATTCCATTCACGATTCACGACTTACCTTGGGGAAGATGGTTGCAAACACCTTAATCTCCTCTGAGAGAGGGGTGGCGTGATGGGTCCAGTTCATCTGCACAGATGCCTTTCCGAGCATCAGGGCCAGGTTAAGCTGTGCATAAACTTGACCCAGGCAGTAGTGAGCACCTGTTCCGAACACCAAGTAGTTCTTGGCACCCTTGACCTCGGCGTCACCTGAATAGTATCTCTCGGGATCAAAGTAGTCGGGGTTCTCATAAACATCGGGGTCGTGAAGAGCCATGTATGTCGTGGGAATCAACATGGCACCTGCCGAGCAACAATTTGTCAGTAAATATCCAAAAGGAAACATCATGGAACAGTCTGGCTTACCCTTGGGAACAGTGTACTTGTCGGTGATGGGGAACGGCTTCTTGACCTTGTACGGGACCATGAGGACGGGAGGGCGGTATCGCAGAAGCTCTCGGACGACGGCACGGGTGTAGGTCAGGGACTCAAGCTGATCCATGTTCAGCTCAGCATAGGCATCACCGTTTCGGACCTTCAGGTTTTCCTCTCGAACGCGGTCAAGAACGTCGGGTCGCTGGGCAGCAATCTGGAATAGCCATGTCGCGGCACTGCTGGTGGCATCCTGAGAAGCGAAAAGGAAGGTGAAAACAGTCTGGGAGATTTCGTAATCGCGGAACATGCGCAGCATAGGAGCAGGCTTCACCATGCCCTCGGTGGACAGGCCCTTCTCCTCAGCCTCACGCCAGCGCTCGGATTGAATCATCTGCAGAATCCAAGCGTCCATAATGCAGGTGACATCTCCACCGGCGGCCATGCGGACCTTGCTCTTGGCGGCACACTTTGCGAACTCAGCGAGAACCATGTCGGCGGCCTTCTTTCCATACCATGTCTTGGTGTAGGGAAGAATGATGGGGAAGTTGACGAGCTCAAGAGCCGCAGTGATGAGATAATAGTCATCGGCAATCTTCTTGACGGCCTCGTCGGAGATGTAGTGTCCAACAAAGGTACGGCAAGAGACGGCGCACATGAGCTCACGGAATTCGGGCATGAAGGGGACGGGCTTGCCGCCATTCTCCTTGGTGATGTCGAGGAATCGCTTAAAGTAGACCTTATAGACCTCTTCCTGGCCGGGCAGATAGGACTCGAGAGCCTTGCGGGTGAAGAGGCCGTTGAGGCCCTTGCGGAAATCCACGTGGGGCTTGCCGTCGAGGAAAACCCAGTTGTCCTCTCCGAGGAGCTTGTACGCGGCATCGACGACACAGGGCTTGACATAAGCCGGGGAGTTGAGCACCTTGCGAGCCATATCTCGAGTGGACGCGATAACGACAAACCTGCGAAGAAGTCCATGTTAGTCCTGGCGTCTGCCATTGTCTCAGTGCGGCTCGTCAATCTTACTTGTGGAAGACGGAGACGCAGCTCAAGGGACCGCTCAACCACTTGGCATAGTACTCCTCAAACTTGGGGTCCATGGACTGGAGAAAGGGTCCGATGAAAGGCTGCTTCCATGCCGGGCCAACAATAGAACCCTTGTTCATAAGGTAGCTGACTGTTGAAGGGCGGTATCTGGTTAGCTGACTGGTCTCTTGGTCGAGCCGCTATGAGCTTTCAAAGGGCGCAACAATATATCCGTACCTTGGTCATAGACGACGCAGATGGCCAAGATGGTGAAGAACCAAGTCCACGGTCCCGCGGCAGCAATGGTGTCGATGACATAGTCGACCTGAGGAGGGATATTGGCGCTGACATATTTCGAGTTGGCGAGGACAGACGTCAAGACGGACGACGCCCTGGTGGCATTGAGTGCGTCCATGGTGGGCGAACGGAGGAGAGACGAGTCTTGGTCTCAATCAGAAGCTCTCTGTGTCTCTGTCTCTTCTCTAGGACACGATATGCTCTACTACAGCACTTGGACAGTAGTAGTTGCAGTACCACCGAGCCTGACAGTACCTGGACTGGAGAAGAGAGAACCGACGGGGGCAGGCGAAGTGACGGCGATGGAGATATAAGAGAATTGAGGGTCGACAGGGGGGGAGGGAAACAAAAAGGCGCCGGGCCAGGGCCGTCTGGGGTTAAGCAGAGGTCAGGTACGGGTGAGTTACTTCGCACTTTTTTTTGCGACTAGCACTTCTGGATACTAAAGCTCTGAGTTGCTTTATTAGTAATTGGGCCGACCCACGAGTGCGGTGTACAAATTATCTGGAGCAACAGCAGGGTCTTTTTACAGGTACATGTGCCAACGGTGGTACTCGGCCGGTACGGACAGTCAAAGTACTCGCGGCTGAGGTGCGACCTCCAATTACTGTGTTCTGGCAGATTTGTTTGGCAGAGGGCATGAGTTTTACTCCTTCAAACACTGGATGGGCATGTACATGTACTCATCAGACCCTCGTACAGACAGGCATGTGTGTGTAGCACTGACGAGCAGATGCGTGCATGACCGAAAAGACGCTGACGGAGAAACGAAAAGCACAGCACAGAGTTTTTTCTCATCCATGGATGGGATTCAATGATTTCGCGCCGACCCACGACCGTCTCCACGAGCCAAAATGCAGCTAATCCCTCCCCTGTGCTTGACTGCGCTGTGGCCCCCCTGCCAATTTTAATCTTGTCTCTCTTTTCTTCAAATTCTTGCTGCCTTTTTTTCGCTCTTATCGATTTAGCGTCAAAAAAAAATGACAACATGGCGTTTTTCGTGAATCGCCCAGCCGGCTGGCTTCCTCGTACGGAGTACCGGGACGCGATGTGTAAGTGCTTCCTTCTTACACGCCTTTTGACTCTTGGATTTTCTTACTCTGTTGGATCTTATATTTTCCCCCTTGCTTTTCACAGTTCATTTTCAGAATCATTTGCCCTCTTTTTCTTTTTTTGTTTTCTCATCATCCAGATCCCTCCGTACTGTCTGTACCACTTAGAGGTTGCGCCGCGGCGCCCTCGGCTTTAAGCATGATGCCGTTCTGCGACCTCGCGTCGACCTAGGGCACATGTACCCATTAATTAACAGCCCACCTTGCTCTCGTCTATCAAGCGTGTATCGCGTACCCGTCCCTGGATCCCTGGCTCGGAAATATGGTGCAAATTGCAGGTCCAAGCTCATCCAAGATGGAGAGAATGGCAAGGCTTTGTATCATCTATCGATTAACAAGCACATGGCCCTTGCCTCCGCTCTCCGGAAGAGATTTCGTATCTATCGATTAGATGCTATCTCTCGTAGCCTTGGCAGTCATACTGGCTGGGTAAGATATTGGTTGCTACAAGGTGCTACTCCATGCCTTTGTGTATGCCTAGGCCGGAAGGGTATCATTGCCAATTTCAATATGAAGAACTCTCTCTTACTCACGCCGATCAACGCTCGTCACTTGTAAGACGAACTCGTATGATGGCTTGCCGAAAGTGAGCAACATCGCTTGTTCTCCCTGCCAAGTCCTCGCAAACTCCGGGGAATGACTCTCTTCATGCCATTTACTGCGCATCAGCACCTCTTCCACTCCATTGATGAGCATACAGGTAGGTACTATCTTGCACCGCATCCGCGGAAGAAGAAAGGGGGTGCTCCAACCAGTACTCATCACACAAGTATACGAGACAGTGCGTCAGACTGTCCACCCATTCACAGACACACACTACAGCTACGATGCCACTAGCATCGGCGCATTCGAATTCGTTCACACAAGGTCAGATCAAATCTCGTTCCTGTGCGCCACGCACCAATGGCCGCTGCCCGTTGGCCCGCCTCCCTTGCAGCAGGTGTCGCAAAACGGCAGCGTCGCGCTCGAGAGAAAAACTGTTGGGGCATCTCTTGGAGAGCGCAGCCAATCGACTTTCACGAATTCTGGCGGCCCGTCCGCGTATCGAACACGAATACGAATAAGTTGCCTCGACAGGTGCCCTCGTCCCGCTTTTGGGCTGCTCACGCTCCGCATTGTCCCTGGCCTTGTCTGTCGCTTGACTCTTTGGGATCGTCTGCAGCCACTAAGACGACTGGTATTAAGCTGCTCTGGTCCCGTGCGCGTGCCCACAAGCTTCCTTCAGCTCCATACTGGCACGCAGTAATAAGATTGAATGAGACCAGCCCAGCCCGAGCCGTCCGGACGGTATCATCAGCCACGGATCACGGACCAAGGACCAAGAACTAGGCGGCAGACAAGCCCGATTAGCATTCACCGAGGAGATTGATTGTATCTGATTTGATTCAGCTTTCAGTGGCCAGTTTCGGGATTCATCCCATCGTCCAAGACGGCCGTTGATCCACATCTCAATGGGAGGCGCTGGCCAGTTGACCCAATGAAGCGGCTACAAATGAGCCGGCCCAGCTCAAGCTTCCGATCCGGGTCTCCCAAATTGGATATTTTGCCAACCGAACCGACTGACATCATTTGATGGTCCGTGTTTCTTGTCGCTTTGATGCCTGTCCACTGCTTATCATTGGATGCCATCATCCTACGAGCATGGCAAATTGGCGACACGGTGAGATGTTGAAAGAGGTGGCATTGTGCTGCTGCAACACGGGGTACTGCTCCCTGTAGCATCTGCAAAATGCACCCCATACGTACAAGCAATCGTTGCTTGCATGCGTTTTGCTTCGGGCTGCTCACGGGGGTGCTTTGTTGGGCATGAACTGGCCGAAGGGTGATATCTGAAATCCCGATTATGTAAGCATCCAACGGCATTCCAGGGTAAGTGAGTAGATTCAAGGCGAAATCGATGTTTTGGCCTTGACAACACTCACCATTCGAAATAATATGCCAAAAATAGTCTATTTGGGCAAGTATTGACATCAAGGGTAACGAAATGCAGCTGTGATGATGATCTCCGGTCCCTGATACACCAAAAAGCTTGCCCAGGGCAAAGAATCATTGCAGGGCAAGATAGACACTACAGGCAACCGATATCAGAGACCTGGCACTATTCTAAAAACTCCCACCATCTCAACCATACCTAGGTTAGTAATTATCTGGTATTCACTGAATGGTTGAATGTACTCTGTCAAGCTCTGCAATCTTCTAAGACAAGCCAATTTACATCACACGCAACCTGTAGCAGATACTGGGCTCCTTGAGTATCTGCTACTGTTAGTACTACCTGGCACCTAATTTCTGCTAATATCTCTACTCCGTACTTTCTTCCAGTACTTATCTACTACTATATAGCCATGTCCCTCTAGTATTTGGTATTTTTTACTGTATCAAAATTGAGAATCAGCTGTTTGATAGCATTGTAGCTTGGGATGCTGAACAGCCACTCCCTGAATTAGAGCACCTGACTGATTATCCTCTCCCTGAGCCATGTAAACAGGGAATTTTACCGTGGGGGGAGTGCTAAGAGATCGCAAGTTGAACCAAATCTACGTCATTGAAGCCGCCGACGTCGTGCCGCTGCCCCTTTTGTTAGGCCAATACCTACTTCGGATAGCACCTAGCAAGAAACCAACGTAACACAGCCTAACGTAGCCTAACTCGCCCTACCACAGCTCATCTCTGCAAGGCTGCCACTGGTCCCTAATAGAGGATTGGGTTAATGGACCTTTTGATTGTACACGCGAGCATGCGTACGTGTCTCTCTGTATCAGTCAATGTCTTCCTGCTTACATCATGCTCGGCTGCGTCCGCGTTTGCAGGAGGCTAAGGCATGTGGCTGGGAGGAGCGTGACGTATCGATATTGGCAGACGGGTATTAATATGAGGAGCGATGGCTTGGGTTTCCTCCCCGCATCAACACCTGCAACTACAACCACATCACAACACTTACAACTATCAGCGTCTACCGTATTCAAGATGCCTTCTTTCATTGTGAGCAGCCCACTGCAGCCTGGGTTCCGTTTGCAATCTGTACCATACTGACGTCTTTTTCTCCTCCCTTCAGGTCACTCTCAAGGACGATGTGTCCGATGACCAGCTTGCCGCGTGAGTCGGGCTCCTATTCCGCTTTGACGACAACCACTGACGCGATACTAGAGCCAAGCAGAAGGCTAAGGATGCCGGCGGCAAGATCACCCACGAGTACACCCTGATCAAGGCCTTTACGTGAGTCCACGACATCTCCCCCGAGACGAAATATCTCATCTAAGTCCAATGGCTGACCGGAATCTGTCTCAATACAGCGTTGAGTACCCTGAGGGCACAGTCCACTCGCTCGCCGAGGACCCCTCAGTACAGACTGTCGAGGAGGATAAGGAGATGAGGACGCAGTAAATGGAGCTCTCTATTCTGTTCTTGTTGCATCTACATCTACATACATCTACAATAGAAAGACGTAATATAGAGATTCTATCCACATATTAATCTTGATCTTCCGCCGTGCCAGATGAGTGAATGAATGAATGAATGAATGCATTTGGTCTCTGAGCTTGGACCTGATGCTGTCCCGCCATGGATCTCGCGATTCCCCTCCTTTGTTAGCTTGCCTCGGGGTGACGTGACGTATGTACCGCGATAAGAGTGGGGAGCTGTTGTTATCGCCATGTGACTCTCCCAACTCTGTGTCGTTTGGACCATTGAATTATGATTATTCTCATCATACCTTATAACATCGTCTACACATAACAACTAAATTGACGGCTGACTTGCAGCTTACACAGCTCGCAAAAGTAACCAAAAGTAACTCTGGGCTGCTGACGCTGGTGATTCGCTGTGCTTGTGCCGCCACTGGCCTTGCCCGCTGCACCGGCTCAACACGGCGCCGCTATCCCACAACTGGCCTGGCTGGACGCTTCTTCTTCTGCTTGGGAGGCATGGACAGACTCGCTCTAATAACTAACCCAGCTCTATCGTGTGCTAGTGGAATGAGCCGAAGATCGCTGAACCTCTTCCCGACGATCGGAACTTTCCCCCTTATCTATCCCGGAAAATTGGCAGCCTGCCTATGCATATGAGAGCGGAGCGAGGCGTGGTGCATTTGCGTTTCCCATTGCTTGCTTGATTCTCCAATCGAAACAAACCCCCGGACTGTTCTCTCGCATCTCGCAATGCTGCAATGAGGGCCATGTTCAGACACACGAGGCTGCTCCGGCCACTCGGGATTCGAGCCCCGACGCCTCTGCGGCCCCAGTTGCGGTGCTTCACCTCCAACATCGCACATGATGTCTCTGGTGCCGAGATCTCGGCCCTGGCCAACCTGCCCCAGCATCCTCTGAGCTTGGCCGATCTCGTAAGGTAAGCCAGCAGCTCATTCATCCATACAAGTGCACATCTATTCATTGGTTTAACAACATGTCTCCTCTTCTAGACAAGGTAGACCGCCGTTATCCGAACGATCGCTTCTCGCGTCGGCCAACTTCACCCTCTCTCTCATTCCGATTCGCCTTGCACATCGCCTGCAGGCCCTCCAGAACCTCCCGTACATTGTTGTATCTAACCCCAACATTTCTCAAATCTACAACAACTACCTACACTCTCTATCCATCCTTCTCCCCTACTGGCAAGCTGCCTCCAAAGGCCGAGCCATCACAACACTCGACAACGAAATCAAATTCACAAATGCTCTCGCCGAGCTGGTCGCTACCCACACCGACACCATTCCGGTTCTTGCTAAAGGCTTCCTCGAGTGTCGAAAATACATCTCCCCAGAGGAGGTTACACGCTTCCTAGATGAGCACCTCCGCGCCCGCATCGGCACTCGCCTCATCTCGGAGCAGCATATTGCCTTGCACTTCAGCAGCCAGCCTCATTTCGACCCCGGCGCGAGTCCCACGCCATGCCCAGAGCACCCGACCTACATTGGCGTTATCGATACCGCCCTGAAGCCTGCCTTGATAGTTGAATCTTGTGCGGGCTTTGTGGCTGACATCTGTGAGCTCAGATACGGCATACGGCCAAAGCTGATTATCAATGGCGAGCCAGAAACGACCTTTGCCTTTCTGCCAATGCATCTAGAATACATTATTACAGAGCTTCTCAAAAATGCCTTCCGAGCATCCATAGAAAGCAAATCAAACGAGCCCATTGTCGTCACCATCGCCCCCGAGCCACCGCTGAAGCTTCAACCTGGCGGTGCTCCCGAGATCAAGACCCCGTCTGAGGACTTGGGAGTCTTCAAGAGCGACGCAATTAAGCCCCTGGATGACAATGCCCCAGGCGTGACAATCCGCATTCGGGATCGAGGCGGCGGCATTCCTCCAGACGTCCTCCCCAATATCTGGTCCTACTCGTTCACCACCTTTTCCGAGGACGACGACGTCCCTGGTTCTACCGGAAACGATGGGCTCGGTGCGATTGCAACGGCTAGCACCGGGGGAAGCTCGATTGCCGGTCTGGGATATGGTCTGCCGCTGAGTAGGGCATATGCCGAGTACTTTGGTGGCGGCATCGCCGTTCAGAGTTTATACGGTTGGGGAACAGACGTCTACCTCCGCCTAAAGGGGGTTGGGAAAGTCGACAAGAAGTGATTCGGGCGTCAAAAAGCTGAACGAAATATATACCCGATTTTTTATATCTCTCATAGTTCTGCCATGTTGGCTACGGCGAGCCTGGACGAAGATTTTTGTATGTTTTTACTCAAACTTGCTGGTTGTTTTTCTTGTATTTTATTTTGGTTAGAATTGGAGAAATGTATCATGACCTGCCTGCCAACTGATCTCCAGTGCTGCTGTGTTCCTATGAACTATTGTAGTTGCTTAGTATCGTAAACCGCACATATATATATTCAAACCCTGTCGAACAGTATTAGAGCAAAAGAATGTCTTGGAACAACTCATACCCCATTACACAATAACTCGACTTCACACATGTCAACATCCAACATTCACATCAATCCTCCCTCTCACATCATCAAAACACATTCATAAAAACGATCAGAACACAAGATTTAGAAAAACCCTCAATGAAGATGACTATTATAAACAAATCGCTACAGCAAGGAACACAAGTTCTCCGCCCCCAAATGCTTTGGCTTCAGAAGACTTCGTTCAAAGCTTTAGACTAATAAGTAGGCACGTTGTAACCATTTCATAACCCAATGACTTAAAACTTCTTCTCTCAAAAAATAGTAACAAAGGCGGCATACTTCTTCACTTTCCATACCCATAAAAACGCCATTTCTCTTGCCATGTAACAAATCTTGCTGATGCAGCTCCTTTTTTTTTTGTTTCTTTTTTTGTAATGTAATCTTTGAGTCTCAGTCATCTCGTAGAATGTAAACGTTTTCATCCAGTCAAGTTCGTTGTGTGGACTATCGTACGAAGGAGTGGAATACCCCCCCCAAAAAAGAATGATTAGTATGAAAATAAATATTAAAAAAACAAGACCAAGCTTCTAATTTGTCGATATGCTCGTTCCCTCCTTTCATTCATTCCGTGCCAATATGCATCATTACATGTTTTCCAACTCGCGGTCAATCTGCTTGTCCACAAACGTGCGACGCTCTCCAACGAGTTCGGTCTGCAGGCGCTGCTCAACGAGCGCGCGAACCTGCTTCTTCGTCACGGTGTCCAAATCAACGTCTCGCAACACGGCTTGGATGGCTTCAATGATGGCGGCATCTGATGACCCGATGCCACCAGCGCCTCCCATGAAATCGAACGAAGCCGTTGACCGGGTTGCTTCATGGCCTCGACCAAAGCTCATGGCGGAAGAAGAGCGGTTCATGCCATTAAAGCCTGGCGAAAGACCTGGCGAGGGAATCAGATTCGAAGGGCCACGGGTATGCATCACACTCGTCCTCTGGGGGAAATCCGAGTATGGTGATTGGCTGCGATCCTGAATCGCAGTACCCATGGACATCATCGACTGTCGCTGTGACATGTAGGTAGGATCGCCGATGTGACTAGCAGCGAACGGCGCCGGGGACTGAGGAGGCATATACGTATTACGGCCATGCATGCCAGTAAGAACCGAGCCTTGAGGACCGGCTGAGTAGACTGACTTCATTTCGTCCATCTCGTACTGTTCGTTGTAGACCATGTCTTGCTTCTCCTGGTACTGGTTGGTGCCACGACGACCGGGGAGACCGTTAGCCAGAGCATAGTCGTCCCAGAGCTGGAGAGGGATGGATCGCGGGTTGAATCCCTCGTCGTCAACGGCAACCACCTGCTTGTTACCCTTCTCTCCTATGACAACACGGGTATTACCCCAGGAGAAATTGTCTTGGTTCCAGAAGGAATAGACGGGGAGCGCAAATGAGTAAATGGGGTACGCAAGGATGTAGATGATCATCCAGCCGATGTGTTGCCATTGCCTCTTCAAGATGAAGATCAATGCCTGGAGACCGTAGACGGCAGCCAGGATGACAAGGGACCACAGGGGGAACGAGGTCGGGTGTGTAGCAACGCTGTAAATCATGTATCCAAGGTAAGCGCATGTCGCGGGGAGAATGATGGTGCCGAAAAGATCAATGAAGACAATGAAACGCATTCCAAAGAAGCAGAAACCACACATGTCCTTAAGCCGCATAAGCTCTACAAGATTGTGAATAGTCGAGTTGATCCATCGTCGACGCTGGGACAGGAGAACGCTCCACGACTCTGGGGCAGCCGTTTTACACTGAGCGTGGGGAAGGAATTTGAATTGCATAGAAGGGAAGTGCTTTGTCATCAGAGTTGTCAAGTATCGATCCTCACCCAGAGAGAGTAGGTTCTTCTGGTGGAGGGTGTCGACATCGCATACACTATAGTCCTTAATGACGGCGTCGGAGATGATCAAAGGCTTGCCCTTGTCTGCGGTTCTGAGGCGATACATGGTGAAACTAGTCGCGCGCACACATGTTAGTCTACATGAAAAATACGGTGATTCGTTTACTTGAAATTTACTTACCATCCGGGCAAACAAGTAACACTACCGAATAAAGACTCGAATGCCTTTGCCATGTGATGAGAGATGTAGTATTCATAGACCTGAATCATTGTCCACCAAGACTTTTGGTCGTTCTCCAGACTGGTCTCACCGCAGATGCCAGCAATCTTAGCGTTATGGGCGCATGCGGCAACCAATCTGTTGAGAGAATCCTCTTGAACGCATGTATCAGCATCGACCATGAGGAGGTACTCATATAGCTCAGGATCCACGCCAATGATGTTGTTAATTTGATTGAACATCTCGAGCTCGAGCGGGTTCATGGGGGAGCGATGGTGGACACGGTTGAGGAAGCTCATGAGAAGAATCTGAGAATCACGCTTGCCACGGTTACCGGGCTTGGCCTTGGTCTGTTCCGACTCCTTGCCAACCTTGACGACAACCAGATACGGGACCACATTGCCCTCATACTCGTAAAGACCAGAATAGACCTTGGCATAGTTGAGCTGGTCACTGCCGGGGCCGACAGCCTTGAATGCCAGGGCAGGAGGGTCAACC